CTGGTTTCAGCAGCCTTAGGAGCACCCTTAAGCTCCTGACCCAGGCCAGTGCAGGCTTCTGCCTGTCTTGGCCACCTGAGCATTCAGTGTCAGTTCAACTTATCAATTCAATCTACACAGCTTAGAAAAACCTGCAAAGATTGAATCAATTTTGCTTCAAGCTTGTTGAACCTCTATACTTGGCCCAAATGACTGGACAACAGTTAAAAGTACATTTGGGAGATCAGGATTTAGCTCCCAGCACTTCCCAGACAAGGTACTTCTATTTTACAATTTTCTGTCTGTACCTTAACTAACAGAGAGGATGTGTTTGTGCAAACTTTGACTGACACTTGTTTGGGACTAAAAAATTGTGGTGATGTGAACCATGTGAGTACCTAGAGAGAAAGTTTAGGAGGAGGCTTAGAAATGTGTTCCATGAAGCGGCTAATTTAATTTTGGAGGTTCTTACACTTTGTGCACCTGCAGAATATTAAACTTAAATATTTTGAAAATTATTGACTGGGTATAATAGGCAAGGCAGGTATCAACTGGGAGGTTTCTCATAAACCGCCACTTCATTTGTTTAGAACAAGAACCTTTAATGCAGCAGTTTCACCCTATCAAAAGGTTTGTTGGCATCCAGACTTTTTAGTTGAACCTGGTCACTCATTAAAATGTCACTCTCATTAATTGGCCTACTCAAGCAAATGAGCCTTGAATGCTTATTTGCATTAGCAGCTAAAGTCATTTAACCTCAATTTTCTGCTTGCAGTCTCATTATTTATAAATAAAGAATAAAAAAAGGGGAGATGGGTGGAAAACCCTGATGTTCTAGGTTTATTTTTGATGTAGCTGATGTTAGACATGATTAAACATTACCTGAGGTTTCTTTAGTCTGTTAAGGCAAAATATGGTCGTAAGTTGGACAGGTAGAACCAGGTAGAAAGGTGGACAGGTAGAAAATTAAATAATTAAGGACATACGTAGCAAAAGAGGAAATGATAAACAAACATGGATGGATTAAGTAACAAGCCTCTCTTCACCGTCAATAGAACACTGTCAGGACCAACACACTGAAGCATGCTTGTACCCTACTTTCCAAAACAATGCAACTTGCCTTTGTGAAGACCTGAGCAGATGCCAGTAAACTCTTGTCGAGTGTCCCTCTGAGGTGGCCACATCACATTTGTTTCAAGTTGGAGTGCACCTGGCATGCTTCACTGTGCTGCTCTCCGGTGTGGCCTTCTTACTGTACAGGAAGGCTGGATGAAGTGTTTTGGATTATTTCATTTGTTGGAGTCCTGTGTTTTGAAGGAAGGACCTTCCTCTTGCCCCAGTGCCTTGCTTGTCTATATCATGTTCAACTTTTAATAAGAAACTTGGCTGGTATCATGGATTTTAACCTAAAGGAAGTGATTATGTTTTCAAGAGGACTGAACATTAGACTTGTGAAAACTTTATCTCCTGCTCTTTCGTGTTTGTTAAAAAAAAATGTGGGCCTCTTCATACCCTCTCAGATAAGTTCTAGTAGAGCAGAAGTTGGCAATTTATAGTCTGCAGGTTGGATCTGGCCTGGGAAAGTCCAGCCTGGCCTGGGGCAGCACAAGGGATTGGGCAGTGCACAGCTGCCCTGAGCCACCCAGACTTGCTGCAGCAGCATCCTCCACAGCCTTCCCTGCTGCTCTCTTCTGCCTGTTCTTACCCTCATTGAAGGAGGCCTGAACAGCTTTGGCAAGGGTAAGTGCAGGTGGCTTGAGCTGCCCAGGGGGCATAGATTTGCAGCCTGCAGCAGGGTACTGTCACAACCTCCAGCCTGCAAGGGCAAAATGTTGCCAATCCATGTAGTGGAGGATGTGCAGTTGCATCAAATAAAATTTCTTTCTGTGAAATTCAGTGTTTTAATGGCACTTTTTCTTATACAGAAAAAGAGAAATTTTGATTTACTGTTATTACTATAATTAAATTGAGAACCATTTTATTTAGCTGTGTGGTGAAGAAGAACAGAAGTAAGAGAATGCATCCTCCAGTAGACACGTCAGAACCAAGTGTCACATCTTCCAGTGAATCTAATGAGGAAGACATGTCGCAGGAGTAAAATACATATATATTCTGGTGGTTAAAAAAGTAAGGACATATTTTATACTATATTAAATACAATGAATATATACATTGGACTCTTACTACATACTTTCCAGTTGTGTTTACTGAAACATAATTTAATGTATATAAAAATAAGAGATAAATGGGTAAAAGGACAGAGGTGGGAAACAAAACTGGAGAAGCAAGTAACATGGTCAAAACACCTCAAATGAGAGGTTTCTTTTCTTATAGAAGAGAGGGGGGTAAGCTTTTTTTTCTGAAGCACTTCTAGGGCTAACCAGCCTGACCATATGTAGGAACTAGCTAGGGTGTTCTGTTCATCATTACCTCAGTGTTGCCACTGGATTTATAAACGAGCCCCATTACCTTGCTCTGGGTAGGCCTAACCTTTCTGAGACTGAGCATGACCCCTTCCATTTGATAATAGGTAAGTTTTATTGATACACAGTGATAGCAGGTAAGATTAATGCAAGCAAAATGATTACACAGTCCTACTTATCTACCAGTCCTAGGGTTTCACAAGGAAATGGTATAGCTGGCTGGTATGCAAGTGCCGCCTCGTGGTTCTTGCTTTAATTGGGACTTCTGCAGCCTTGGAGGTTGTGAGGGTCAATGCCCTCTTTTGCCACACAATGGGCCGGGTGAGTTGGGCTGGTGGTGTGGCCTCAGGATCCCCCCCTTTTCTATTCTTTCTCCTGATGACTCTTCATTTCTAGGTACCATTGATTGGTTTCCCTGTGGTTGTCATGCTATTCATGTTTTGCTCTGTCAGCTTAATCTTTTGCTTTTTTTTTTTTTTAAACAAATCACATGTACACGTTCTAATTTGGTCATTTGCAGGTGTCTTAATT